TTTAATGGTACCAGCTTTAATTACATGTCCAAGAAATAATATTTCTGGTCTTGCAACTTCACATTTTTCAACATTTAATTTAAAATTTGCTTCCTGTAATAATGAACATACTTCTTCAATGTGTTTTAAATGTTCATTAAAATTTTGTGAGTAAATAATAATATCATCGATATAGGCGAGTACATGTTTCCACCTATTCGGACCCAATATTTGATTAACAATACGTTGGAATGTTGGTGGTCCATTAGTAAGACCTTGTGGTAATACTTTAAATTGAAAATGTCCGTCTCGAGTTGAAAATGCTGTTTTTGGTCGATCTGATTTGTCTAATGGTACTTGAAAATAACCTGCTTTGAAATCGAATTTTGTAAAATATGCTGCTTTTGTTAACTGGTCATAAATATCATCAATTCTTGGTAGAGGAAAAGCATCTTTTGTTGTAATTTGGTTTAAGCGACGATAATCGACGCAAAATCTTGTTGTTCCATCCTTCTTTTTTACTAATACAACTGGTGACGACCATGGAGATGTTGAATGTTCAATAATTCCATTTTTTAATAATTTTTCTGTTTCTTTCCTTAAGATTTCTTGATCTTTGTTCGATTTCCTATATGGTGGAGTATGGACTGGTCGATGTGTACCAGTATCAATAGCGTTTTTTAAAACAATATCAATTTTTGATGGTCTCCTAATATCAAATAATTTTCCATATTTCCATAAAATTTTTAAAATTTGTTCTCGTTGTTTATCATCACTAATATGTTCGGTTAATTTGTTTATTTGCTGTCTTATTTCTTCAGGATAACATTTGTTTCTAAGGTGTTTAAATAATTCATTGCCAGTCTTAAAATATTGATAACATTCACGACATTGGTATTGTTTTCCATGTAATTTTGTAGTCGGCATATTATTAAAATTTAATTTGTTGGATTTATTCGCTCCTTTCCCTTCAGGAATGAGCTCTTTACACGCTTTTCCTTCCGGAATGCGTTCTGTTACATAATTTGATGACATGGTGACACCAATTGTAGAAGATACTTGTGTCACTATACCTAATTTGGTTCCTTCGGACAGCGTTTGTTGTCGATTGGTTGCGTTAATTATACTAATTTTTATTGTTCTATTTTCAATATTGAGTAATGCATTGGCAGTAAATAATGCTTTATTTTTTAATCGAGGATTTGGTTCAAATAACACATCAGTCATATTGTTGGGTTGAACTTTTGCTTCAACTACTTTTTCTGAAAAAGGAGGAAGAGTAATATAATTAATAAGAGTAGCTGGATAATTTAGAAGAGGTGGTGTAACAAACGGAGTTGATACTTCTTTACCTCGACTTCGGATCATAATTCGTTGTTC